TGCTGATTTTTGTTGGTTCAGACGCGTTTTGGCATATAGCCATTTTATGTGTTTTCTGGAGTAAGCACCCAAACTCAGAAGATGGCGAAATTCCGAAACGCGCCTTAATCAGCAAAAATAAGCGAGAGAAGGTTAAAAGAGATATATTCAGTATTTCTTAACAATTATATTGGGTTGTCCGGAAAATAATGCAGGATTTTAAGTTTTCATTAAAAAAAATCTATATAAAATATTCTGTTTACGTTTACAGGATTACTCATTTGTATGAATGTCAACACTTATTAATCCTCTTCCAAATGATATTGTTTGTTTACCTCTGTAGCATTCCGCTACTTGGAAATAATTCAGTCATCCTTATAATGTCAAAGCGAGAATTTCGTACGATTTTCTTTTACGAGTTTAAACTCGGCCGAAGCGGAGCCCAAACGGCTAGAAACATTAACCAAGTCTGGGGCGAGGGTTGTGTTAATGAGTGCACTGTGCAAAGGTGGTTTAAAAAATTTCGGGAGGGAGATTTCAGCCTTGAAGATGAAGAAGGTCGTGGAAGGCCTTCCTCTCTTAATGATGATGTTCTGCGATCAGTGGTGGAAGAAAACCCCAAAACAACTGTTCGAGAACTTGCAGAGCAACTCAAAGTCAGTAAAACGACCGTCGCTGACCACCTCAAGGCGATTGGAAAAGTGAAAAAACTCGAAAATTGGGTTCCACACTCATTAAACGATCGCCAAAAAAATCAGCGCTTTGATGTTTGTGCATCACTTCTTTGTCGAAACAAAAATGACCCATTTCTGGCCAGAATTGTTACATGTGACGAAAAGTGGATTCTCTACGATAACACTAGACGTTCTGGACAGTGGCTCGACAAAGGAGAAGCTCCAAAGCCCCCAACTCATCAAAAAAAGGTAATGGTTACGGTATGGTGGGCTTCATTTGGTTTAATACACTACAGCTTCTTAAATCCTGGCGAAACCATCAATGCTGAATCATACTGTAACCAAATTAATACCATGCATCAGAAATTGGCAGTAATGAAGCCCTCTTTGGTCAATCGGAAAGGGCCCATTTTGTTGCATGACAACGCTCGACCACATGTGTCACGTGTAACGTCACAAAAATTATTGGAGCTTGGCTATGAAACTTTGCCTCACCCACCCTACTCTCCGGACCTCTCGCCTACTGACTACCATTTTTTTAGACACCTGGACCACTACTTACAACACATAATATTCAAAAATCAAACGGAACTGGAAAATGCATTTATTGACTTTATCAATTCTAAAAATTCTGAATTCTACTCAGACGGAATTAATAAGTTACCAACACGTTGGGAGAAATGTATTGAGAGTATGGGAAATTATTTTGATTAAAGAACATTGCTTTAAAGTAACTAGTTTCTTTTTTTTTGTTTAATACCAAAATCCTGCATTATTTTCCGGACAACCCAATATCTCCAAGTTATTCAAAATAATTAGATTGATACTTTTGTCTTTTTTAGTATATAATTAGAATAAATTAATGTTTATACTTTATAAATAGGTTTTTAATAATAAATTTTTGTTCAATCTTTTACAAACGTATAATTTCAATTTTAAATTTTTCATATGGAAAAATTTGTATTTTTGTGTTAACTGCAAAATGTATTGTTATTTAGATATCAGCCCGTTTAAATAAATAAATAAATAAATAGGCTGACAAGGATAGGTAACTATCAAACAATAGGTTTATCATCCAACAGACCACATGAGGAAATATCACAAGAAGTAAAAATAAAGTATTAACTGACTCTTTTTTAAAACTTATAATTATTATTATTATTGGATAAGATTTAATTGCAATTATTCTATCGATCTAGTAAGTATTTTAAAAATAAATAAACATATTGTGTCTTAAAACTTAATGGCTCGATTCCAATAAAAAGTACCAACTGTGATCCTGTTTATGCTGGCTTTCAGACTTAGTCTTACGTTTTTTATGGGATGTTATTCCATAAAGTCCAAAAAATATCTAAGCAACTTTCTTCAAATAATAAAAACCGGCCGAAGGTCTAGAACCGAGGAAGGACAAAACATTGAGAGACATGGAAGTAAATAATAAACAGAGGAACCCCCCCCCCCCTATTCGGGTTGAATTTTCATGAGAACGCCTAAATGGAACGAGGGAACCGCCTAAAAAAGATTTCCTGGAGTCTGTTGTCTCGGGATTCCAGTGGAAAACCGAAAGTGGACTCGGGACTATTTATACGTCCTGCACGGTTCGTTCGCGTGCTACTGGAACACATGAAAATGAAAAATGCTTATTGGAAACAATGGTAATGGGATCTGTTGGATGGGTATTTGTCACGGTGGCCGGGCTATTGAATCAGAAGATTTCTGGGAAATGATTTGTGTGCACGACTGCAAGTTTTGACTTTGCGCCTTCATGCCTGATCAACATTTTTTCGGCTTTTGTCGCATTTCGTTTTTTTTTATTTTTTAAATGCGTTTTATCTAGGACTTAAGTTGAAAATTAACAAGCGCCCTTTTTCAACGATGACTTGATGCAGAAAATACAAGACTAATGCAGAAAAAAATTGTTACAGCGTACGGCCGAGCGTTTTTATTTTGCGCCTTCGCCCCTGGCATTTTTCAGTTGGTGTCTCACTTTTTTAATGCTTTTTATCTTAGGGCTTGAGTTGAAAATTAACAAGTAACCTTTTACAAGAGGACTTTTTATACAGAAAATACTAGTCTAAAGTAGAAATTTTTTTAGAACTTAAGTTTATTTTGCGCCTTCTGGAATTTTTCTACTTTTGTCGCATTTTTTTAAAATGCGTTTTATCTAGGACACAAGTTAATATTAAGAAGCAACTTTGTAAAATATGACGGCTTAATACAGAAAATACAAAATTAAAGTAGAAAAAATGATTACAAATTCTCCGGGTTCTAATCATCAACCTTTGTATAAGTGCCGTTCATAGTTTCAATTTTCAACGTTCCATAAAATCCAAGCCTGAATTAATAAATAATTTGAATTTAGTGGGCGTAAATTATGCCGAATTCACATAACTATGCTACCGTATCAAAGGTTTGAAAATACCCTAACAACAACGGCAAAGTAGCAAAATATTGTTTTTAAAATCATTCGAAAACTCATTTTTCGTATAGAACGATTGTGAAAAAGGTAACTTTTAATACCTTGTAAGCTAACAGGGCAGTGTTAAAAATACGGCATTAAATATGCGTTTCTTAAGGATATTTTAAAGGAGTTTACCATCCCTAGAAGTCTAAAAATAACTTCTTTTTTATTTATTAAAACGAACTTTAGGAATAAGTAGAATAGTATAAACCGTACAAAAAAAAGAACCAAGTTATTAATGTAAGTTATTAAATCCATTACAGTTCGTGGTCCGATTGACCAATTAACATTTTTCAATTGATTAATATTTGAAAGGTATTGGTCGAGATAAAAAAAGTCATTGTCACGAGCGGGATTCGAACCCACGACCTTCGGCTAAATACGCCGCTACTCTACCACTTCAGCTATCGAAATTTCGATCCGCTGGGACGCTAACTTCCCACCTCAACTTCACCTCTAAAATTTTCCCTCCTTTTTGCCATTTTTCAAATGTCGTGTAATCCATTTGATTCTTGGCGACAAATGAAATGGCCACGGAGAGCTTTCGTGAAGATATACTTCAGTTTGAGGTGGGAATTCAGCGTCCGAGCGGATCGAAGTCGCGATAGCTCAAGTGGTAGAGTAGCGGCGTATTTAGCCGTCGTGGGTTCGAATCCCGCTCCTGAAGCTGACTTTTATATCTCAACCAATACCTTTAATAAATATTAATTAATTGAAATTTTACCATAAATTATTTCAAAACATGGGGGAGAGGTGTTAAGTCAATTTAATTAAAATGTATAGAAATTAAATTTTTTGTTTTTCCGGTTCTGTTGGATTTTGAACAGATACGTGGGGCATAATTGAACTCTTTAAAAAATTAATGCGTTGATCGGAAGCAGGAAAACAATGAGTTTTATGGTAACAACGTGAATCATTATTTTTGGAATTGGATGGAAACGGACCGCCGATTGACGAAGTTGAATTTTAAGAAAATTACGCAAGGTTTTTAGTTGTAAACTTTTTTTACAAATTTTAATGGGCCTATTTTTTTTTTAATTTACAGTCGAGGTTAATTTTTTCAAATTTTTCTCCGGGGAAAAGCATTCTCGTAAAACTTTTTATGTGACGTGAATGCTTAATGGCGAGGTCTAAATAATTTTTCAATTTCCACGCCATGCAGCTTTTGTTAGAAATGACTCGGCAGGCCGAGCGTATGACGCTCGAGGGCGTTTTCAAATTTGATATGTACATCAAGGGCCAGAAAGGATAATAAAAAATATTTTTTGTACTTACATAAGTTAGTAAATCCAATATATCCAAATGAGGGAGGGCGACCGTGCGAAATATTGGCGGCTAATACGATTTTTTTGAAGAGTTCAAACGATGCCGCTTTTAAAAGAACTCTCCCTTTATGGCCGACGAACACAAAGGGATCGGTTCGACCTGAATTAAAATAAAATAAATAAAAACAATTCCGCGGCTTCACCGTCGTCACGGCGACAAAAAGCCACGTGCCAGGAAAATATTCCAGTTGTAAACGGTTAAACGGGTGTTCGGAGGGATGATCCCCTTTAGACCTGCGACGTCGACCCTCATCAAACTTAAGTCCCGAAGACAAGGATGGACGTTCCGAAGAAGAGCCCACAGGTACGTACAAAAATCACCAACACAGTTTCACTCGCAGACCCACTCAAAATACATAATATATTTCATCTTCAACACAAACACTACACTCAAGACAAAGAAACTTTATATAATAAGACAAGTAGTACTTAATTCATATAGAAAACAGTACAGTATTTCTGCAAAACGATTAATAAAATTTTGAATAATAATAAAATAATTTAAAAAACGTGTTTTATGACACAAACTAAAATTCGTTTCAACAAAAAAACAGTACTCACCAAGAGAGGATGTCTTCAACACGATGCGGTCAACATTGTGCAAGTCCATCCTGCAATAAGAAATCCCTTCAAATAAAAATTATGGTCTCATACAAAAATTAGGTGCACTATCGATGCTAGTTTTTCTTGAAAAGGGGGGGGGTGGTAGTTGTACGATCCAAGGTGTTCGGTATAGAACTTGTGCTACCTTCGTACTCTAGACAGGGACTAAACTGAAAGCGAACTGATGCTTGGCCACGAACCCCACCACTCGTCCGCGGTGGTGGGGACGAAAAGGGTGGCTTTCGAAAGGGGGAGAAGCCCAAGCCAAGCTTCGCTTTTTCTCCCCTTCCATCCGTGGGTGCAGTTCGCTTTGTCATGCGGCTTTGTCTGTCAAGAAAGAACTTAAGAAGTAGGAAATTCTGCCCAAGGGGTACGCGTTGCTTTTTCGCCGCGCGCTCCTACCAAGACTTGAATAGTCGGAAAAGATGGAATATTTTGGTACCGATTGTAATTACAAAAAATCTTGTACGTTGAAAGTCCCCGCCCTTTGTTTATTAAGTTTGAGCCGAACTTGCTCTTTCTCCACACATAAGAAACAACTGCCTGTAACAGTATTAAAAGAATATTAAACTTGACTGTAAACATTTTAAGAAACAGTGAATAAAAGGAAGAATTGCGAAAAACTGTCAGTTTTAATAGACTTAAATTTATTTTAAATATTAAATATTTCAAAACCACAAACAAATAAAAATTCTATCTTTAAAAACAAGAAAAAATAAACGGTGGTTGTTGTCTGCGTACCTGGACGCAGGTGCGGAGGGCAGAGATGGGTATTTATTAACTGATAATCGGAAACTTCGCTTTTTTTTATTGATGTCAACGAGCTACGATTAATCTAATATCGATGTTTGTGTCACGATTTATCGCATTTTGAAAAGTTTGATTGGAATAAGTGATTCCACTGTTCTTTTCTTAAAAAGACTAAGTTATAATAAAGAAATTAAAATTTAAGGCAAAAGTTAGCATATTTAAAGGGAAATTTGGGAAAATATGTGGTGTGGAGAGAATCTGACAACACTGCACCAGCAACACTGTATACATACTAATGACATCGGCTCCGCTAAACATGTGACTAGCAGTATGGCGGTCCCGGTTGCAGCCATTCTGAAGGATTCTATTGAGAAACAGAAGCCCAGACGACAAATTGGAAAGTGCTTGCGACACACGCTGTTAACTTAGCACAAGAAAAGTTTTGGCACGATAGAGCAAATTCCTCTTCACACATTATCTTCTCTCCTGGATCCCAGGTTTAAGAAAATGTATTTTGAAGATTCAAACTGTGCAGCTAAGGTCATTAGCACCGCTTCGAAAGTACTTAAAAAACGAGCTTTTTCTCCTACATTCAATGAAACGTTATCAGACTCTGACTCACCGGATGGCCCTTCATCACTATTCCAAATTCACAATAAAAAATACAGAAAGCTTGGCCGAAATGCTGCAGTTCAGACGCTGCCACAAGTACCATCCCTGAGGAATTCAGCTTATGCCCAAGGGCACCACATGCAAGATCCAGCAGAACGTTATACTATATTGGAAACATACGCAGGCAACATTTCCAACAGTTTCCAAAATAGCTTTCCAGTATGTGCATACAGCATCAATTCCTTCGGAAAGGATTTCTCTGAGGCAGGTTTGCTCCTGAGGGAGCAGAGGAACCGGTTGAAATGAGACCTGACTAACAAATTAATTTTAAGGACATAGATGTTAAATTTTGGTAATAGGAAGAGGAAAATTTTTAGATTATTTTTTTTAATTGTTTAAAACTTTCAATTTTTACTTGTAAATTTCTACAAGTATCCATCCCTAACCACCCCCTATATTTTTAAATTAAACTTACATAAATTTGTGTTTCTTGTGTTTTTCCATTTTTTAAACAATCTTTTTTTTTTTTTTTTTTTTTTTTTTTTTTTTNTTCCGAGAGGCTCCAGCTCCGCGTATTTCTCTAACAAGAGCACGACGAGAGGGTCCACAGAGAACCTGTCGCGTATAGCCCAGACCGCGCTCAGAGAGTCGGTACATACGAGGAAGGCTGATCCCTCCCCGGTTCGCACCGCCTCGAGAGCGTGCCAAATCGCATACAGCTCTGCCGTGTATCCGCTGCAGTGCGGGGGCAACGACCAGAAGATGGCTACTCCCTCGCTATACACAGCACACGCCACACCATCGCCGGTCTTGGACCCGTCTGTAAAAATCAGACGAAAACCGGCGTATCTATTTCTAAGGTAAAGGAACTTAGCCTTGTAGAGGTGTACACGATTTAGGCATTTCGCCAGATCGTCGCGGACGAATACGGCCGGAAGGGTCGGGGGGGTTGTCGGCTGGTGCCCCACCCGAAGCACCGTCCCCAGCGCCAATCCGGCCCTCCCTAAGGACTCACCGAAGCGGATCCCGAGGGGTCGCGTCCGCGAGCGAAGCCTGTCGTAAACTACTCTGTACGGGCAGTGGAGGATTATCATAGCGAGGGGGTGCTCCGGCTTGGCTAAGAACCCGGCCGCGTAACCGTCTGTGCCTTTGCGTTTTGCCGCTCCTAAGCCATATCTGGCTCTTTGCAGCTTCTTGGCTTGCGCTGCTATATAGCTTTTTGAATTATAGACGGAAGCTATGTTCTTTCTTTGTCTGTTAGACGATCGCATCTCTACTCCACCTGGCGAGCTCTTTGTCACAGTTTAGTTTACTGCGTCCGGGATGGGCCTCGCGGAGGCGGCTCGCTCGGGATATTCAGGTGGAGGAGGTATAGGCTTTTCTGATGTTTTATCTGTAGCTGTGTTATTCGGCTGTCTTTATGTCGGCCATCCTTTCTGTCTCATAACGCTTTTCCACATCTTTTGTGTTGCGTTACATTTCGCTCGTGTGGTGATCGCTGCTGCTATGGCACCCATAGTCGCCGTCTGCTCATTTATTTCGAAGAGCCAGCGTACACGTGGAACGACGTGTTTTGGACAACTGAGGAGGACATGTTCTACCGTTTCTTCTTCGCCACAGTCGCACAACGGACTAGGTTTAAGTCCGAAGGAATGGAGCTTTGCGGCGAAGTCTCCATGTCCCGTTAATAGCTGCGACGTGTAGTGGTCGATTTGGAGATGTTTCATCTTCAGTCGGCTTTTAATGTTGGGGAATAGCTCGTACGTGTGACGACCCTTGGGAGAGCCGTCCCATCTCAGCTGCCATTCCCTCAACATCCAATCTTCGGCTTCTTCCGTACTCGCGACTGGTATGCAGGGTGGGCGTCCGTTCTTTATCTCCCATTTGGCGCAGATGGCTTTTGCTTTTAGGTCGATGGGCGGTCGTCCAGCGATGACTTGTAGGGCCATTGTGGATACCGTCCTGTACGCCTGGGTAACGGAAAGCAGGGCTGCGCGTTGGGCTTGTTCTAGCACGGCCCAATCGTTCGCCCGAAGTGCGCGTGTCCACGCCGGCGCTGCGTACAGTATAACAGACTCACACAGCGCCGTGTAGTACACTTGTCTCGTTTTGTACGAGGCTCCCCACGTGGCGCCAGATAAGGAGCGGATAGCCGCTATCCTCGTTGGCACCCTAGTTTTGGTGTTCAAGGCGTTCGAGCTGAACCTTAGGCCGGGTGTCATACTCACTCCGAGGTAGGACAGGGCCCGAGGGCTCTTTATGGTCACGCCACCTATGCGAATCACTGGCGGGGACCGTGTATTGAGCTTGCCTTTCAGTAGCATGAGCTCTGTTTTCTCCGAGGCCAGGTGCAATTTATTTTTCTTGCACCAGTTTTCGAGCACGTTCACGGCGAGCGCGCCCATTTGTTCTAGCTGTGCCTTGGTATCCGCCTGGATGATGACTGCCAGGTCGTCAACGTAAGCAACGGGTGTGAGTCCTACTCCACTCAGGTCAGCAAGTGCGTCGTCGAATAGCACCGCCCACAGGTACGGGCCAAGCACTGATCCTTGAGGGATTCCTTTTTGAACCGATCTTTGGCAGTCTCTGCTGTAGTCGCTAAGCGTCACCGTGCGTCCGCTCAGGTAGCTAGCCACCATGGTGCAGAGGTCATTCTCGACCCCTCGACGGGTCAGGCAGCTGAGCACGGCCGGCCACCACATGCGGTCGAACGCCTTTTTCACATCAAAGAAGACGCCGGCAACGTATTTGTACCGCGATGCCGCCGTCAGTTCCGTGATGCTTCGTATGGCATGTGTGGTGCTACGCCCGGGCATTCCGCCGTATTGTCCCGGGTGAAGACGCGTGTCAATTGCTGCACGCAATCTGTTTAACATCAGTTGCTCCAGCGTCTTCCCGAGTACCGATAGGAGGGAGATAAGCCTATAGGATGAGGGCTGGTCCGCTGGTTTACCCGGCTTTAGGAAGGCGCAGACTCGTGCTGTCTTCCACCCGTCAGGGAAATAGCCCAATTGCAAGCAGTCGGCCATGAGCTGGTGGATGTATGGGGTCACGACGGCGCAGCAATTCTTCACCACCGCTGCGTCAACAAGGTCTTCGCCCGGCCGCGTAACCGAGGGTGAGTTGCTCTCTCCGAAGTTTGGGAGGCAAGACCCCCAGCTCGCAGCACACTGGCCAAGGGGCTGGTCCTGAACGCCCCCGAGTAGCTCTGAGACCCGGGTAATAGAGCCTATCGAGCTTTCTCAGGCGCGTTTTTCGGGCCGAGGAATAAGCCATACATCCATAAAAGATCCTCGAACAAAGCAGCGAGTCAAAATTTTTTAGCAGAGTCTCCCTGTCCGCTTTCCACTTATAGTGACCAACAAATCTCAACAGTGAGAGGGTTTTCCTGCTTTGGACCTCGACGGCGTCGATGTGTGCCTGCTATCTCAACTTTTCATCGAACAGGAGGCTGAGGAACCGCACCTTCTCCACGTACCTCACAGGTGTGCCCCTCAGGCAGAGTTGAAGGGGGTTATGGGCCCTCCTCAATCTGCAAAAGTGAACACACACCGTTTTCGAAGTGGAAAAGGTAAACCCGGTTTCCTCGGCTATCGCAGCCACATCGTTTATCGCCGACTGCATACTACTGCCGAACTCCGCCAGATCCTTACCCGAATGGTAGAAGCAGAGGTCGTCGACAAAGAGCATTTTCTTTATCTGCGGACACCACTAGGACTTTCCTTTACTTGTCCCGCTTCTAGGCCCTTTAAGAGCTTTGCAGGTGACATTTTGCTTTCCTCTGCCTAGTGGTCGTTGCTCAAATTCCCCCACC